TCAAGAGTCTTCACTCCTTACTAGGGATAAACTCTGTCTAAAAAAAAAAAAAAAAAAAAAAAAAAAAAAAAAGAAGATATATCCTCATATTCTAGATTAACTTTTGTCATGAAATCTTTTAAATTTTTCTTTCAGAGGTCTATTATTGACACAAATATTTTTGAAAGACAATCTCATGGTCCCCACATATCCCATACTTTGCAAATCTTTCTTTTCTTACATTCTAGAAAGCTGAAAAAAAAAAATCAACCACCTAACACTGAAAACTGATAGACAAAACTCTCACTGTAGGAAGGGCTGGAAAGGACTTTGCATCTTGAAGTTAATTTCCATAAAACGAAAACACACATCTGACTCAGGCAAGCTGTCGGTTAGAAGACTAGTAATTGCATAAAATACTCTAAGTAAATAAATACCATCAAATAAATACACCTGCCTCATATTCATTAAAGCTTACATTACAGGATATCTTATATGGTGAGAAATATAAACAAAGCAGATTAAAAATCTTAACTCATCTATTTACAGAACTCTGACAATTTCAGAACAAAAGCTTGATTAAACAAGCAGAGGAAAAATCCTTATGTTGCTCATGGTAAATATCTTAGAATGAGACATGATCCCACAAGCATCATTTCCAAGACTTACATTTACTTTTCTTTACCGTAGTTAATTACCAGGGATAAAAGTTTAAAAAAATAATGACACGAATGACAGAAATTAAACAAAATTAGGTAAACACAAGAAGGGGAAACTTGGCCTACAGAGAACACTAAGTTCAGTTTTAATTTGTTTTCCCATGTTTTTTAATACAAATTTTGTGACTGTGTTTTAGGTGGTTTATTTGTTGAAAGGAAGGTAAGAATGTGGGATGCTTAACAATGACCAAGGTTTCTGAGGGTTTGTGCTATAAAGTGTCTTACAGTCTCTTTTAATGAATTTGTCAGCACATCTTGGCACGCTAATATTCCAAAGACAACTGCAGTAATTCTAAGGGATTTGGTATATTCAGATCCTTGAAATTAGATCATTTGGTATTTGACTTCTTGTTTAAGCTCCATTTTCAGTGCTGCTGCCATATTAAAAAGGACCAGGCAACTTCTCTTTTCCTTTGTATGCCAAAAGAAAGGCACTTTCACAAATCTACCAGCAGGAAGGTGTATTTACGCCTGGAATACAGAAAAGGCAAGCAGTCCATTCTTTTCCATTGTTGTTCAACCCGGAGGTTCAATACCTAATTTAGAGGATTTGGGGCTTGAGGGATTCGGGCAATTCTTTTCTGGGGCTAATCATGAATGGTTCATACTTTTACTTTGCTATCCTTAAATAACCAACGCTGGGTGTTACATTCACTCATGCTACAACTCTGCTTGGAGTGGCATTACAAAATTACAGTCGGCTGGCATCAGAGAGAATTAGTCATAATTCTAACAGTCATGACTGCAACAACTTAATTTGGCCCACAAGACGGCACTTGATTGGAATAATCTGCATCAGTTTGTTTTATTAAAACCCAAGGAATGCAAAATAGGGCTGTATTCATCATAAAGATTTTTCTCCTTTCCATGCCTTTAAAACAATTCTGAAGACTCGAGTAGCTGGATTTCCACACTCAAGGTAATTTGGAGATTAAGTAGATAGTACTGACAAAATCTACTGAAAATGGAAAGCACTTCTGCATATAAGTGGTATGTATTAGTGTAACAGTTTTAAATCCTATAAGACGACATATTTCAGCATAAAATTAAGGATGACTAATCAGAAATGAAATAAGAGTCAGTGAATTCCACAATTCTGTATTTCATTAAAAGGATTAATCAGATTTACTTTACAGGCTTAAACAAATGTTATACGTAGGACTTCTTACTTTGTTATCCGACTACTAACTGCCAACATGTCTGATGAATTTAGTAAAGTCCTAAATAAATGTGTAGTTAAAAAGTCCTCAAAATGTAAAAATATTACTTTTATAACTACAGACCCTCATTTAACTCACACACTTAAGAAAAAAAATAATTTAAATTCTGTTCCATATTGAAATATTAACCATGAATTAACATTTTTTAAGTCCATGAGATTATTTTCTCAAACAAAACTACAGAACAGTTTTCCCCTTCACTCAATTCTCTGATGATTCACTGTTATTCCTTTCAAGTACATGGTAAAGGGTTACTAAAAAGGTATTTAAGCTATAAACAAACAACCCAAAAAAGTTTTGAGTTTTTAAAAAAAAACTAACAAACTTGATTTTTCTGGTTACCCTGAAGAATAACTCACTGCATGTTTGCAGAAAAGGTTGGTTGTAGTGTTTTACTCGGAGGCTGGCATATCTGATGTTATTTCTCCACAGAATACTGTGATCTCATTGACCAAAATATGGCAACTAACCACATGAGGCAACAGGAAACTTGAATATAAACAGTCGTTGAGAAAGAATATGCTAAATATAAATATTGCTTAGAATTACACTATTCGATTAAATCCCTAATCTTTTTTTGCCATATCATAGATACTGATAAACATGAGTCGTCTTTTCCAGATGGCACATCAGATCTTCCCAGCTGCTGTTGACCGGTAAAATAGTTTTCAAAGCTCAACATGGCACATGAGTATATTCCTTTATGCAACTATACACAAAGAGATTATTCCTTAAAAGGGGCGATATCATCCATGAAAAAGTCTCCTTAGCTCACACAAAGGCATTAAAATAGTGAAAAATTATATCTAGACAACATACAGAACTTTCATTCAATACTATAAAATTATTTCATTTCATAATTTGTTTATATTTTCAAAAATAAAAAGGAGGGAACATAAGTACAGCAATTACAAACAGCTTACTAAGGTTTTCAAAATATTTTATACACATCTAGCACAAAAAAGAAATGAAAAATGCTGATACGCAACATGTTCAGTGGGACAGTCCAAAAGAAAATTCCCATTTGAGAGCTTCCATTGCAGAGTGTTCCCCAAAAAGTAAGGGGAAACACACAAAATAATTCTTCTCCAGAAGTGAAATCAGGGAGGTATGGAGAAATGGGACGTTACCGGTGGCCATACTTAACTTTTCTTGGTAATGGAAACTTTTGAAACTTTTTTTCTGGATAGGTTCCCTTTAGATGGAATAATTGTTTCAGTATTATAATCAATAAATGCACTGATTGAGACAGACACATTACTACAGGTCATCCAATTCCAGTATTAGCTAGAACACTACCAACAGTTATTAGCAGAATTATTTAAAAACCTTTCTTATTATGAGGTCTTGCAAACACGTATGATCACTAGAATTACTTTACATTTTTCTGAAGCCTACAACGTGGGCTGCCTTCAATCAGAGGGTACTAGAAGCATCATGTCCCCTACAGAGTGGTCCTCTCACAGATGTGGAACTTGGTAAGCCTACCTTATATGTGAGGATGAAGCCTACAAGCCCCATAGAAACTAATTTGAAAAAAGAAAACAAAAAGTTTTGCATAACATCAAGATGTCAAATTTTGCAGCAGACTTGGAATCTGGCACAGGCAGCTCTCTTGGAGCTGCAGATCTGACACCACCAGAAATGTGCACTGCAAGTGAGTTTGGGGTATTTGCTGGAAACCAACCAACATGCCTGTCCCCCCTGACAAAGTATCACAGGTGGACCAGTAGATCCCAGACTGAAGCTTTCAGCTTATTACCTGAATCACAAGACTCAACTTCAATCCTACCCCCTTTTTACCTTGGCAGTTCCATACCAACCCCAACTAACGTTAGGGAATTTTTATCATACCCCTTGGGGCAAATTAAACATGCTTGCTCTTCAACATTAAAAGATGTAATGAGCAATGGATTGGACAGTCCTACCTCCATAAGCAGCTCTACGGGGAGTCTGCAGAGATGCAACAGGGGACAATTCCTCATATACTCTTGCATCAGCACCAGCCATGTGAGCATCAGCACGGGGCACCTTAGCCCAGTGTTCAGTTGACCAGTTCACTGGTTACCCGAAGCGGCCCCTGAGCACTCACATTCCGGGATGGATTGCTCCAAGACAATGCTGGAGACATTTCTTATCTCATTCCCAAGGGACACTTCACTCCCTGACATGGAGTCCTTCTGTCTGGGGCATTCCTGCTTCCAGCAAGTTTTAACCATTGTGCAGTTGGGCCTCCTTGCCCTCCATGCCAGATCATTCTTTGGTCACAAATTACCATTGTTGAGCAGTTACAATTTGAATTTCCCCTTCACTAATGACATGGACAGATTTGTGTCCCCAGCTCACAGTTGCCTGACAGGTCTTCTGTCTCCTTTCTCAAAAACACTCGTCTTCTCCGTTTCCCATTATCAGTTTTTTTCTCTGTCAGATCCTCTTTACCTCTTTAAGTCTAGTTATAACAGAATTCTTAGCTTCACCTACTCCTTCTCATTCAGTTCTTGTCCTTCTGTGCATTTCTTACTAGAAAGTTTCCATAACAGCACAAAAGACACAGGATTTATTGTCCATGGTAACATCCAGTTCCTTCATTTTATCAGATGAGAGGAAATAGGAACAACGTGAGAGAAGAATTAGAGATTCAGATTATTTTATCCTTAACTCCTTCTCTTAGTCCTGTACAGATAAAAACCTGCTGAATTCTCTGTGAGACTGTCTTCCCGCAAGTGCAGTTTGTTGAGACTGAGAAGGTCCAAAATGTGGATATGTGATAAATAATCAAACCCGAAGTTTACCACAACTGACTTTATTTTTTTTTTTTTTGTCCTGGTTTTAAGTTTCATTACCGAAAATGGCTAACCTACTTTATGTGAAGTTTCCCAAAGTGCAGAGTGAGAAAACATGTCATGCAAAATTTCATGGCAAACTGTCTAAATTGAAAGCAACAGAAAACACAGTCTTAAAGTGAAAGAGGTTGAGCAACCAGAAAAAGCAGTACTCAAGAAGTCTGCCTGTAGTGCATACTTATTATATACTATTACAATAATATTACTTGGAAATTGTGTTGTCTTGGCAACTCATTTACCTTGAATTCTTCAACAATAATACCCAAGGCTTCATGTCCAGCTTTTCTCATGTCTTCTAACTCCTGCTTATGCTTCTCCTGTATAAAAAACATTGAAACATTATATGCAACGTAGACACCTGACATTACAATTGGGAGAGCAGATTTTCCTAATTTTTGGTATCAATCAAGAAGAAATGAACGCATCTTGGCTCTTTAGATATTATGTATATGCTCATTTCAAGTTGGTTCTAATATTAAACTTATTTTTATGTCTAAATTTTAGTTTATTAGTCCCCAGATAATTCTAAATGGTTCTCCAAATATTTTTTTTAATTTTCTTTGATTTTTTTTCTGGTTTCTTGGTATACCTGTGCATGGCAGGAATTCCAAACCACTCTCTATGAAAATGTAGTTTACTGCCTATATTAATAAAAATTTGAAATGGACTAGTATCATATTCATCATCCTTAGAAGACCACACCCTTTTCCTACTAATTACATAGCTCTTTTTATCTTTTTTTTTTTTTTTTTTACTCTTAAGGTTCCCAGGAAAATGTTCTTGCATAAGACATCCTGAATATGTTTTTCAAATAAAGCTCTACTGTTTACTTTTTATTTAATTCACAGTATTATGTAAGAAGAACATGGACAGGAACATTCTAATATTTTTGCCTTTACATGAAAACACTTGCCTGTGGCTTGCTGTCTGGGTCTGCAATGTGAACACCATTAGATTCTCATCAGCATTTTGTGCTTATCAGTAAGCAGCCCCACTGTTTTCAAATCACCGATTGGTAAGAAGATAAAAAAACTTTTCCTCCTTCCTTCTTTGCTTCAAGGATCAAACTAGCTAGTACAGCACATCATCAGTGCTTTACATCAGCTTGGAAAACTGATGCAGAAAGCAGAAAGGCATTCATTGGGGCAAACCATACACACCTTACACTACATGTTTATTGCTTTTTGGATAGAATTAAAGTTGAAATTAATTGATACAATTCTACGTTATCTAAGATCTGTTTATTTGAAATAAGCAAAACCTAGTGTCTAACAAACCATGCTCAACTTATAACACCATTAAAAAAAAATCAATTAATCTGTCTGCAACTCTATATTTGATTAGAGGTTTCTGCTCTGTCATTCAGTTCCCTTCTCCTGCAAGGGCTATCTTAGCAAAAAGTCTGAAATTACAGCAATGCAAACTTCTTATCATTGCCCCAATTATAATAAGACATTCAGATTCTCTTGAATACAAGAGAACAACTAATCTGAAGCAGAATGGAAGACAGAACTATTTTGACGAGTAAATAAACTACTACATCAGATAACAATGCACATCTGGGTACATCGGTTTAGTCACATTGTGATGCACCACAAACTAGTTAAACTCAGATGTTACATATGGAAAAAAAAAAAAGAAGTGATGAGCTGGAAATATTTTTACAGTACGAAACTACAGAATTGGTGTAAGGAGGAAAAATATGATCCAGTGCTTAGCTCCAAAACTTCACAAATCATTAACAAATACGTCCCTTTAAAAAGTGAACATGGGGGCAAAAATTAAGAAAAATGTAATTACTATAGTAGCATATCCTGGATTCACAAACGTGAAAAGAGAATTATATAGGAAGAGGGCGTTAATGGTCATTAAGTATTCTAGCTGAAAAAACAACCCCAAACCAACAAAATCAAAACTGAAGAAAAAGCATTCCATGTTGAAAAAAAACCTTTAATTGAGAAGAGCAAATGAAAACAGTAAGATTTCCATCTGAGACCTGTCACAGAATTAGCTTGAATGGAACAATGAGACATAGTGGATCAAGTGTGTTGACCAAGGAAGTAACATATTTAATTCTAAAAAAAGTACAGCACCTCTCAGTAGCATTAACAGGCAAATCAAGCCACATAGCAAAAAAAATTGCAGTTTGTCCTCTTATAATCCATGCTCAAGTTTTGCAGAATTAGTGACTCGTTCAAAGTCATGCAAACTGGTAACACAAGTTGAAGCATCAACACCAAGGTATAACTACCAACATGAAGATTCCATCCAACACTTTTTACAGTACTTACTTTCTTAAAATATTTCCTAGAGTAAAGGAAAAGATTCATTAACAAAGAACTAATAGTAAGGCATCAGTTTTGCTTGGGTCAGGTCTAGCAATCAATTTCTCCACCAGAATTAGAAGAGAGAATGAAAGGCCACTATTACAAGCACACAGACAAAACGTTGAAGGTCACCTTGCGATGCTCCCCCCAAGTAAGGGCTTCATCCAGCCTGATGAACACCACATTGCCTTTTTTCTGTGTCTATTGGCAAGATTTTTCAGCTAAGACAGCAGGCCTATAAGTTTAGTTCTTTTAACTTGTAAAGGTGCATTTCAATTGTTTTGAGGATAGGTGGCCTTTTCTTCTGAAAGTCTGTAAAATATTGTTTCAGAATCTTATAGATACATCACTCAAATAATGTGTGCTTGGTCCTTTTAATATCCAATAAGAAAAAGACCCGAAGTCACTTTAAGTAACACATTTTGGTAGTGTACGCATTGATTTACTGTTTAACATGTTCCTGAGTTTCATGATTTGGCCATGAACACAACAGAAGCATTCCAAGAACAGCAGCATACTGATTTGATGAACAATGGTCATGTCAGTCCTTCACAAATCCTCAATAAAATGTGTACTTTCCATAGGAAAATTAGTTCAATGAATTGACATAACTACTCTTCGAACTACTACTCTGCTTGCAAGAAAGAAAAGGGAAGTTCTGTGAAAAGTTCTGAATGGCGTAGACCCGAAATTAAAATGTAATATTCAGATTTCCTATCAAACGGGTAAGAATTTTTGTGCTTCCTGCCTCTTGTAGAATTCTCCTGCACGGTTTGTATGACTTTGGAGAGGTTTTTTAAGAATGTTGTTGTTCCCTTCTTTTTTAAATGAATGCTTTTAAGAAAGGAATCAAACATGAGTTGAGAAGTTTGAAATTTAAGTAAAATAATCTTCAGAGGACTTTCACTCCTTCTCCTTGTGCCTTGTGATGGACAGAAGCTCACAACAGAACAAGGACAGTAACTAAACATAAATTTGGAAGAGAGAGGGGTTTATTTTATTTTGTGATCAAAATCTTAATCATTCCAGAGAGCATGAGGCATTCTTTATGGATATAGTATGAAAGTAACAGGCAACTCATTGCTCAATGGTTACCAGTGTTTGTATTTTTTCCATTTTGCGATTCGCATATGAGGAAACATGTCATCGTGAATAATGCATGCGTAAGAATACATGCTTTAATGCTAGCAAGTGTATGTGCCTTCAGAAATACATCCAATAAAACTACAATGATAAGGACGAGAAGAAGATCGAACCTCGAAAGGTTTCCTACAATCTAAAATCCAAGTGACTCCAGATTCTCCTTTTCTTTTGTTAGGCCCCTGTGAATCAAATCACCATAGAGGCAGATGGATCCAAATGCCGGGTGAGCTTCCGAGAGGTGCAGTTCCCAAGGATGCTGTGGGGCAGAGAAGCCTTCTGAAGTGGCTGTGACGGCAGGAAAGGCGACTGACCCGCCGCCATCCAGCTGCTTGTCACTGCCCGCCAACTGCATTAGCATTTCTTTTAGATCTTTTTACTGAATTGCTTCCTAAATTATTTCAGTTTAAGTGAACGATTGTTAGCATAAACAGTTTAAACAAGGGTCTTTATTAACATCCAACATTTTGACAGAAATGCAGAGCATGTCTTTGCACATACTGGGAAGTGTAAGGGTAACACCTCTCAACAGAGTACTACGTAAGATCCACATTATGAGGATTTGTGAGGCCTGATGGGGGAAGAAAAGAGAGTAAAGACCTCAAACTTATTTTATTTCATTATAGTTACTTATCCTTAAGTTGATCTATTTTTCTTCTAACTTTTTAAGGGGCAGACTGTCTTGAACTGTTGGGGAAAAACGTCACTCACAGACACTGCACAGGTTCCCTACAAACCTTTCACTCTGACATGCCTGCACGTCAGATATACCGTAACAGCAATAAATGAAAGCTTACACAAGGGAAGAAAAAGGTACTTGCTGCCTCACTTTCTTGTCATCTAATTCAAAGCAACCGCAATTCTTTTCAGTATAAAAAGTAGATGCTTAGAAAAACTATTTTTTGTCAGTGCTCCCAAGACGTATCACAAACAGCATCCAAAAAATGAGACTTGATACTGCAAATTAGGGCCACCAAACACAGTCACCTGAAAAGGAAGCAACTGGCGACGTATCAAAGTTATCTTTTGATAATAATCAGTCCACAACAGTAAACAGCATTTCTTCTGTCTTCTATAAGGCTGTGGCATCTTCAGAATTAGCTGCAAATCCAAGCCAACACCTTAGGAAGTGATGTACTCTCTTCCCTCCTAATTTCTGTACTGATGCAAAAAAGGCAAACCGTAGTTCCCTGCTAGCAACCAAATTAGAAGACATATTTCAAATCCACTTTACAGAGTTTTGATGTATAAAATTACATCATTAAGACTTTTCATATTGGACTCAATTGTTTCAATCATCAAGATTTTCCTTACACAAAGATTATCATATCTCTTTTTCTTTCAAAGCATAATTTAAAAAAAAAAAAAAAAAAAAAATTTTAAAAAAAAAAAAAAAAAAAAAAAAAATTAGTATCATAATGATTCTGTTAAGAAACTGGTAACTTCTCATCTGAAGACATACTTTTCCTCCAATTTACCCACATATAGAGAAAAAATATTACTGAACACAACAGTACTAAATCACTGAAAATTGGAGTTAAATATGATGAGAAGCAATCCATAATGGCTAATTAATATACACACTAGAGTGTGCTATTGTATATAAAATACAGATGGGTCACTGTTTCTGTTGATGTGAAATAAGAATCTGAGCTTTCCAGAACTAAGACACAAGTGTGCCTTCCAGGTCTACAGCAAAGTAAGTAATTTCACGTGGATAATATCACCAACACATCCTAGTGAAAGACAGAGCTGAGAAGCTAAAAGACAAACATTTTTATAGGAAGGGAAGAAAGATTTCAGATTTCCCTGTATAACCACAAGAACATGCAGCATGCACAACCTTAAGC